ATGACCATTTAAGTGTGAAGATATGAGCATAATTTGGTATAAATACAACGGTAAAGGTGATGGGAACTACTACTATATTGAACGAAAACACAAGCGGAGACAATCGGATGTATTTGAATACAAAATTATAGAACGTCTTAGTAAAGTCTGAGAATCATACAGTAAATCTTTTCATTTGCAAAATGTTCAATAATTGTCTCAGACTTCATTGTTCCTGCATTTCCATACCAATTACTTTCTGTTCCCGTTTTTTCCTTCTCGATCTTCTCAACCTTCTTCTGCCTGACATTCTATTCCTTACTAGCGTTATATACTACTTATATCGACATAAGTACAACACACCACACCAATATCGTCTAAGATTTGATTATACAAGTCCTTATTGTGCGTTCCAGTACTGAACTATTTGATCAAGTTATATACTTTGCATGGCCTAAAATAGAAATGATTGCCAAATGTATAGTAAACTGTTCACATGAATCCAGTTGGACAGATTAGATTTTATTAATTTTAACTCTACCTTAGCAGTACTAAATGATATTTGAGTTGTCATTATTATTTAATTCGGGGTTTTACAATGAAGCTTTGTTGAACACATAGTTACAAAATATATTTTCTCAAATACGAACAATCACAATGTTAAGTTCTTTTTAACAAACGTCTTATGTTTAATGAAACCACAGATTGCATGATTTTGAAATGTTGTAATGATTTTTCAACTAAGTTGATTCAAATATTTATGTTCATCATTAATCATTACTAATGTAATCATGATCTGAATAGGCTATATAGGGAAGCGGAAAAGAGAAAGGCCAAAGAGCACAATACTTCGGGAAATAAAAGCAGGTATGAAAAGGATGAATAACAAGTGGAAAGAGTTGGAAAGAATTGTCCATCACAAGATTAGATGGAGAGTGTAGATGGGTGGCCTATGTTCCTTCATGAGGAGTAACAGACGTAAGTAAGTAGGTAAAAAAGTAAATAATATTATCTAATAGTTGGAAAACTAACTGAAAATAAAATACAAAAACTTATCTATCAGTTGAATGAAATAGTTTTTAGTAATATTTAACTAAAAACATTAAATGAGTAATAACATTTGTCCAAAAAAACAGAAACCCGGTAGAAAAAACAAAAAAACGAATCAATCTAATTTTATAGGTATCATTACCAAAGTTTGACTTATAAAGTTCAAATAAATTGAGTACTGAGTAGATTGTCATCAACAAATAGTAATATATTTCTAATATTTCTATGAGCAGAAAAAAGATGAGATTTTTTTTTTGACGTTTTATGACTTAGTGTAAACCATTTCTTCCGAGAATAAATTCATCAAATTCAAATTAAACCAAATTTAAATAGTATAAAGAAATAAAAGCAAGAATATTAGATACGATCAATTAAAACAAAAGAAAAAAACAGATCTGAACGTTTTATGGATTTGTGCTAAGTTTAGATTAATTTTCAATTTGGTTCAGTGCTTCCAAGTTTTCCATGGTGATCTAACTTCAATTGACTCATAATATTAACTATTGATAGTACTTTTTCTATTTATATTCAAGTTTTACTTCTATACTGTCATGATAAACAGATATTAAATAAAACAAAGGCATTAAAATTAACCATTTTATGTAACTATATATATATATATATAATATATATATTAATATCAGCAAAGATCATCTTTCCGAGTTCATCAATAGTATATATTATAATAATAAGAATTAACTCATTTCATTCTACCTTTCTATACATTAGAAATTTTTCTATAAGCTAAAATCAATAACAGTGATAATCTTTTACTCTGATTACCTATCCTTTGATTAACTTAAATAATTCGATATGGATCGTTTAGATTATTGAGGTCAAAATAAATTTTCATCATCATCATAATTAATTATGCAAAGAATGAGGAAAAGATATTGATCTTTTTCCATGAAAGAAAAAAGAATAACAAATGAATAAGAGAAAAATGAGTGAAATAATTAATGTAAACATTAAAAAAATATCAGGAAGGCTTTTTGTGGAGATTGTAGTAATTTTAACAGTTGAGATCATGAGTCATTTGAAGCTAGACCACCATGGAAAACCTGGAAGTACTGGAAGGCCGTTTTGTCCTAATATGGGACTCGAACTTCAATTGACTCATGATCTCAACTGTTGAAATTTAAAAAATACTTTTTCCCATGTTTTTTCGGTGTTTTCACTCATGTCATTAAAAAAAAGAAAATGCAGCTGTAGATAAGGCCTAGTCATTAGTATGAATTGATAAATTAAATGAATTAAGTTTATCAGTTTGTCATGTTTTACTGAAATACGAAATTATCAGTAATTATCAAGATGGGAATTTGTGGAGATTGTAACAATTTCAATAGTTCAATTCATGAATCGATTTAAGCTAGACAACCACCACCGATGGTTTGGGGAATTATGAATCTTTTAACAATCTGGTATAAATTTAACTGACTCAGATTTGTGTGTATATTGTTTGTCTTTAAATTTTCCTATTGCTACCAATTTTGTTATGAGTCGAATTCAAATATTAGAGGAAAGCTTTTAAGAAAAAATAGTATCACTAAATAGTATAACCATTCTTAAACCGAACTTACTAGTCAATGGTAATCTCCTATGTCATTCACAACGGTTTTTTTAAACGTAAAGCAAATACGCAAAGAATTGTTGAAATTAGTACTTATTATCTCTCACAACTGAGCATTACTTTTGCTAATGCATCAATATCAAATCGTTCATATCTACTTGATTTTTGGAAGTATCTAGCCTGTCGTATGTCCTAATGGTGTTCTCGTAACTTTCGTGTTGCCTGATCTTCCAAGAGTGATGGAAAAGTGCATGACGGTATTGTTGTGTGCTATGTTCAAAGAGAATTGTATGCTATATGTATGCAAATCTGCCCCGTTATTGTTCCTATTATTGTTCAATCCTCTTAGATACGAAGAACTGAATGCAGAATTTTCACAAAATAATGAAATTTATATTACTATATTTCGATTGGTTTTGTTATGATAGTATTACAGAATGAAAATTACAGTCATATATTATAAGTAGTATGGTTAAGGAGTTATTTGCACATTCCATAGTCTACGTAGATTTTTCTATATGATTTAATTTTAATAGTCATTACAATTGTGATTTTTAATAGAAACTCTATGGAGACTAATAATTATTAAATAAAAGTCATTAACAGTATAAGGTTGCAGATATTATTAACTTTTTTAATTGAGATCATGAACTGATTAATATTAGACCAGCATTGAAAACCTGGAAGCACTGGAAGTATTAAACTTTAATGAAATCTCTTCTTCTGACAATCGACAACTTTTAAATATTTATGACAATAAAAGTCTGTCGAAGTACTTCTTCTGTTGTTGTTCAGAAGAACACCAAAAGCTTCACGACCAAATCATTCAGTTTAAAAAACCAAAACCTCACCTAAATCATCTAACTAAGCTACAAATTTTTCTTCAATATCATTCAAAATTTGTAAATTATCAATTGATTTAGAATGATTTGAAAAATGGATCTGAATAACTGATATTCAATTTTTAATTTTCTCAAATGATTCAATAAACTAACTTTGATTGAGATGAAGTGATAAACCATAAAACATTTTTTATAAATTATCATATATTCACATCTATTAATACAAAATTAATCTGCCGCTAGATACTAATTTTAAGAATACTGGATATATATAGTTTATCAAGCAAATGAATATAATTTTATAGTTGAATCCATGAATCAATTGAATCTAGACCATTATTGAAAACCTGAGGGCACTGAACTGAAATTAAACATTAACACCGTTGGATCACAGCTTAATGGTCTAGAGGTTAGGCGTTCGCACGCGAGACTGATAGGTGTTGGGATCGTATCTCGCGGGACGGGATAGTGGATGCGCACTGCTGATAAGTCCCATACTGTGATGAAACGGCCGTCTAGTGCTTCCAGGTTTTCCACGTTGGTCTAGTTTCAACTGACTCATGAATTCGACTATAAAACTGCTAAAATCTCTGCAAAACCCCTTCTGAAAATGGTAAAGTTTATTTCTGTTGAATCTATTGAAACTTTAGCATAATTCAAAAAGACAGTTAATCATCTTTCTAGTTCATCAATTTACAACTTGCTCGTAAGTAAATTTAAAGCTATCGTTAATTACATTGAGAATGGTTTCATTATAAGTATGAATAGTTTTACACATTCAAATAGCGGTGAGACTATAATTTATGGATGACCTTTGAACGACGCTAAAGTGACCTTGAGAGTGTACACCTAATAACTATGACCAAATGAGGGTTACAGACCAGTGTGAAGAATTAGAATTATGATTTATAGTTGATGGTGAGGGTTAGGAATTACATTTAGGGTTTGCATCACGAACTGACATCAGCTATAATGCCCAAATTCTATTTAGCCAAATGAATGGGTGAATTTCGCGCCAAAATCCGAGACCTGTTATCTTGTACCTGATTGTCTCGTCCACAAATTCTAGTCTCTCCAATGAACGAATACTGTAAGTAAATTAGTAAATAAATAAATTTTGGCAAATAATTGTTTAATTACAATTCAAGCACAATTATATCATACATTTATTTTACTGTACCGTTAAGATGAACAATTAAACATAAATTTACCCAAATACCTACAAACCGTATAGTTTCTTCAGTAATATCAAGCATTGCATAGGTCATTCATTAGCTAACAAAGAGAATGTCATCATATTAATTTCTCATATGGAAAATAAACTCAAATTTACCAAACCAATAATAATATTTAGATTGTGCAGTGATGGTTTATTAATTCAGACATTCCATTTTCAACCAGTATTTCCCAGATTAAAAGATCATTTCACTTACTTTAGTTTGAGCAATCAAATAATATGATTAGCTTTTACACATAGAGTTTAGTTTATACCGAATAAGTTAATTTAAATTAAATTGGATAAAGTAAACATTAAAACAGTATAACACGTAGAAACTTACTCGGTTCATCATCATTTTCATCAGTATCAGACTCTACACAACTAATATACGATGTAAATATTTCTATGCACACATAAATAGTACAAAGTATACAAAATACATTCCGCATCTGTAAATATCTCAATTATCTTAATTAAACCGGTTGATTTATTATTTTTTTATTTATTTGGAAGATTGTTTACATTCAGTGATTAAATTTTTTTTTGATTACATCATCGGTAACAATAATTAGTGATAAATATAGTAAAGAAAAAGAAAAAGATTAATGTGGACGGTTGTTTGCAAATGTTTTTTCTTTCAAAAGTAATTCTGTCTTGATGAAATAATCCAAGAGTGTGGTTGTTGTAATTTAATTAATGTCATTGGGGAACTTTTGCCAGAATTATAAGACATTTTTTCAACTTATATATGTATATATTTATTTATATAGAGAATATATATTTGATATTTGAGTCTTATAATCTAAGATATTGTCACATTATCAAATATTTCCCTCTTTTCTAAAGTTATATATGATATACGTGTGTAGATCGTCATATATACTTTATTTATTATCTAATCATATTGACTTCGTGTGTGTACAATTCTCCTAGTTCATATACAAACAGTCTTCTTCATTTGTATGTTCATTATTATGTTTAATCTTATGATTATTGTTATTTTAAGCCCAGGGCTGGCATGGTCCTTTGACTGGGTAATGAGAAATATTTTTTTAAAATGAATTCAGCCTATCCATGTTCATCTGCTGACTTGTCTGTTAGTTTATTTGTTAACTGACTTGTTAGCTTGTTTATTATTCTACTTATTTATTTGACTAACTGACCAAAAAATCTTGAGGAAATTTTTCGATCCTTAATGAAAATTCCCTTTCTTTTCTGAACACACATACATATATTACTCAACTAGTAGAAGACAATGATTGTGATAGAGAAAGTGAAGAAACAGGAGGAAGAAAATTGATGGTTTAAAACAATTCTTCTAAAAATATCTTTAAGGTATTTATGTATATGAGTGATAAAAAGTATATTTTATATGAGAGTGATGAATTTTGAAGTGAACCAGTAAGACAAATTAAGGTCAACTGATTAAAAGTAACCTATGAAAGTAAGGTCTTACTTGACTTAATGGAGTCTGAGACACATACATATACATTCATTTGTGTAATAGAAAAATGACATTTTTGTTATTCTGAATAAACAGACTTTCATTTAGTGTTATAAATAGTTAACACTATGATGATAGTTGTTTAAGGATGCCATTTCTCTATGGGATGAGAACAAAAGGAAATGAAACAACTTACATAATGATAAATGAATGACTAAATCCTTAACATAAAAGTTTCTTAAAATATGGGTGTTACTTGTGAAGCAAACTACCAGGTAGACTAGCAATCACCAGTTTTGTTGTCATCAATTCCCTACAGAAGCAGCTCATTTTGAAATATATTATTTTCTAATCTCTGACCAAATATATAAACAATGGAGCAACCTGAATCATTCAGGTACTTAATAGCTAAGTTCAAATTCACCACTATCAGGAATTGTAGTTTACGGACTTTTTTTCAGTATCTAATAAGCGAAAACAATATCATCCACAATCTAATAACAACTTCTTTATTAAATTTATTTATTTGCTGTAAATCATTTGGTTTATGATTATGGAAACAGTGTACTTTTTTGAGAAAACTTTAAAAGAATTATGGTGAAATACTCTCAAATCTTTTAAATACCAGATAGTTCATATATAACTCGGAGACTTCTTAACTATGATTTCGAATCTGATATGTTCTCACTATTTCTGCCTAAAACAGTAATTTTGCAATGACAGAAAGAGAAATCTTTCACTATCCAGAAAAAGTTATGTAATATTCTGTAATCGGTTTATACATATCTTCTAATATTGTTTTCAACCAATATTGATTTCCAACCTAATGGTTTAAAAGAAACGTACTAGCCATGAGACCTAAATATCTTGACCTCAATACCCGGAAAGATGAACATTAGCACATCACTGAATTATCTCAGACTAAGACAAAACGATTGTTTTCAATAGTTTGCTGACATGTGAAATTCTATGACAAAGAATATTTTCAAGAGTGAACATTACTTGTTTATCTACGACTATGATTTAGTATATAAGACAATAAGAACACTTAATGATAACAATAAAATCATTCTCATTCAATGAAACAAAATTTTATGAAACAAAGCTAATACAGTAGGTTTCTTTAAAATCATATTAAACAAAGCTTCAATTTTCGTTGGATTTTATATACATAAAGAGTAAAAGTTATATTCTAGTTAATTACAACTACTGAAATACTGTCAAAGCTATACAGAATGTTAAAGATAAATAAATGAACGACTGTTATGCATATAATTTTCTTAAAATTAAGTTGAATTCATTCATTTGCATAATTAAATTCATTCTCAATAAAAAATAGCACTATTTCTTTCACTAGAATTTAGATAAAAATTAGTAGAACAGTAAATGAACAATTTTTCTAAAAAGTATGCAAACATTTTAGTGAATGAGAACACAAGTGGGAACAATCAAATGTGTTTGAGTACGAAACTACATAATCTCTTGGTAAAATCTAAGAATCATCAATTGTCACCGACTATACCGTTCTTTTATTTTTATATCAATCGCTCTATGTTCTCGTTTTCTTCTTTTCGATCTCAACCTTCTGCCGTCAGGCATTCCATTTTCGTTTGATGATACATACAATTTATATGTGACGACATCAGTAGCACACACTTAGCAACTATCCTACAACCAATTTCGATTATGGTTAATTTTGGCTAAGCCCTTTTATTAACTTACTTAACAGTAAAAATTCGTATATTTCTTTGTACCGTTATGATCACTAAATCACATGACAGAATCTATCTAAAAAGTCGATAGCCTAAATATCACTCAATGATTCATCCTTCTCCCCATGTATATATGTACTCAAATTCTATTATTCGTCCTTGCTGTGCCCTAACGCAATTTGACTATAAATTCACCGATGTAATTACTCGTATATACTTATTCGCCTCTCTGCTTCAAATTCACTTGATGTGCTTATAGCTTTGTAATCTGCGCTATCTGCTAATGAACTGCAGTTGCCGCTTCTCATAGCATTCTGATTTCTAAACACCGTTGAGATTTATATTATAACGGTTATTGGGGTGATCGATTAACCAAGCAAAGACACTACAACACCACAACACTATTTATCCATTCATTTATTCACTCATCACATAGTGATTTAACTTTTGCGCATGCTTCTGTTGTACAACATTTCATATTCAAAATACATTTTTCTTTTCTAATTTTTCAGTTATTACTTTAATTATTAATTTATATTTAGACGTTTAACATTCACGCGCGAGACTGATAAGTCCTGGGTTCGAATCTCACGAAGCGAGATCGTGGATGTGCATTGCTAAGGAGTCCCACAATAGAATGAAACGGTCGTCATGATTTCAATTATTGAAATTTATATTAGATTTATTACAAAGAGTAATGTTAACAAAAAGAAATTGAGCATATATTTCTTCCTTACAATAGACTGGTAGAAATTGATTACATAAAACAAGGACTGATTATTTTTTCTTGTATTCCCACTTGGAGTTAATGGAATTCTTTAAAATCTGTTTACTTTTGTTCTCCTCATAGATTGATAATAAAAAAACGTTTTTTTTTACGCAAACTATTCTCTAGTTAATTGCTTTACCAATAATGATTATTTTGTTTCATTTTAAGTGAATTCTATCTTTGTCATGATTTTCGAAGTTAATTATCAGTTGTCAATTAATTATGTACATAATAGCAAAATGTCTATTGAATATTGATTTGCATAAATAAATGGCACAATTCGATATGGGGTTTTTTTTCTACAAAAAATCTATTTATGTTTATTTATGATTAATATCTTGGTGAAAACTTTATTCAAGTAATTTAAAATATTATATAAATAGGACAGTTAGTAACACAGTTCAAGCTTATACTTGAAAGAAAATAATCGGCTTTCTAATAAGTCATTAAGTCAGTGAGAATTAAATGACTTATATATCACTGAAAGAGTTAGTAAGATAATGAATGTAAGGTCAATAAATGAAATATATAAATATACATGCATGATAAATAGAATAATTAGTGATGATGATGATGATGATGTATTTTTGATATCTGGTTCAGTAGAAAACTGAAGTTCTGAAGTTTCAAGACTTAGTCTATATCGATTTTTCGGAGAATAAAACAAAAATCCATTATTTAAAGCATCATAGGAATCATGTGGTGTGAAACAGAGGACACTGATAAGTAAATAAAATCGTTTCGCTTACAAGATTAATAAAACATCGATACTGTCATTTATAAGAAAATATTCAGCAAATAATCCTTATACTTATTCAGTATTTACCTGCCTAAAATACACTAGTAATGAAGAACTTATCTGCTAACTATGATCATTTGCAAAATAAGCAAATCAGAATATAATATGCAAATCGATCAAATGGCTGAAACTCCTCTAGAAGTAAATCATCCACTTGATAAAATATAAATACCTATCATTTTGTGTCTAGCCTGAAATTATGTTGTGTGGTGGGTGTGGAGCACCATGTGAGGAAATCTCATTAAGAGAAGTTCAAGAGAAAAAGTGAGCTGACAACTCAGTAAGTATATATGATACACTTGGTATTAATAATAATAAAACCAACCCATAACAATTGAGAAAAACATTGGTGAGAGGTTAAGGCAATCCAAAAATCAACCTATAATTCAGTAGAGTAATACATTGAATTCACTACAGTAATATCGAAATTGAACATAACTGTGCTATTGAATAAATAATCGAGAAATGCATTTAGGTTGCTTTGAAAGTAACAATCCAATAAAAATAACAGTACCAAATTTTTATTCATGATAAATTATAATCTTAGAAGCAACATTGGCATAGTAATAAAGTAGACGTCGTTCATATTAGAACAAAAAGGTGTTTATCCAGTCTTTGTTTTGTTTTTTGCTTGACATTTTCTTGTTAGTTTTCCAATCATATTTTTGTCTTACTCTTAGGTCAAAATAATTAAACTGTCTCTTACGTTTATATTCCGTCATAAACTCGATGTTGAGACGAGCATCGTTGGTATGACTTGCAGATGGAAAACATGATCTTAACAAGTCACAAAGTTGTCCTGTAAATACTTATAATCATATATTATTTTTTTGGTTTCGGATTTTAGCTTCATTTTTTCGAAATTCGTCCTACTGGTGAAGTGATAATCACTCCATTTACATGTTTATCTAATTAGTTACTGAATAAAAACTAAGCTTCGTTTGGACAGAGGAAGAGCAGTTTTGCAACTTCTTCCGTAGCGAATCAAGTGTTTGAGGTTGCTAACAAATTGTAATGGTGATTTCTTTCGCTATTCTGATTGTAGATAATTAAAACACATAAAATGATATACTGAGTTTATCTAATTTATCTACACTTTCCAAATGACTAGACAATCGAAACAGATATTTCAATCTGAGTCACTATTAATAATCTAAATTTTTGCTAATCAACTGATTAGTCATTTGGTCGACTTATGATACGGTATCATGAACCTGATGAGGTGTAAAACGATGATTGCATTATGTATTTTGGTAGGATCACTGACGATAGATAGATATGACTGAGAACGTTGTAAATTGAACTGTAAACTAGATAATTTTTTCAGAAGTTCATTGAAATGCATGGTAACTCCGTTTTAGATTTCCAAAGTGGCATTGCTGTTTATACGTACTAAGCGATCGCTTCTAATCATTGGAAGCGTTTTAGAATTATTTTGTTTTTCTCACCTGTTGGTTTATATCATACTGTTAACTCAAAATGAACTGATACCATGAGCTCGACAAGTT